AGTCTCTCCGACAGAGTCTCATCTAGCTGTGGTGGAGGAGGCGCGGACCTTCGCTGAAGCAGCAGGAACCCGCCCCCTTCGACGCCGGGGCACGCAGACCCCCCGGAACGGGGGCACCCCGGGCCCAGCGGGGCCCCCAACCCCGCCTCCCGGGTAAGACGACTCGGCTCCGACCTCTCCAACCCCGCCTCCCGGAAAAGATGCCTCGGCTCCGACCTCTCAGGGCTCCGCGACGCGCCCTCGCCCGATCCCCCAGCACGCGGAGCCCACGCCCCCGGGCGGGCCGCTCCCCGCCATAGCCTCGCTCCCCGCCCCGCCCCGCGGGGCCCTAGCACCTCCTCGTCGTCGTCCTCTTCCAGCTCCTCCTCAGTCTTCTCGGCATCGCCTTTCGGAAGCAATTCGTCCGGGGACAGGGGCGCCCCAGGGCCGGCGACGGCGGCAGCCATGACGGTAAGGGGACACCGGAAGCGGAAGAGAGGAGGCGAGTGCAGCGCCGACGACGGGCAGAGCCGCCCTTCCGGGAGCCGGAGGCTGGAGGGCTGGGGGAGGGCGACGCCTGCTGGCCGGTGGTCTTCACTGCCTTCAGCCCTCCGGCGGCGACCGAAACTTCGGCGGACAGAAGAAACACTTGGGAAACTTGTTCAAGTACCCAGTCGAGGTGCGTCCGCGGTAATTCTGTTCAGTGGGCTTAAGGTGGGCCCCACACCTGCATTTTAACAAGTCTGCCACGGATCACACTTAGACAAACACTCATCCAGTTTCATTTCCCTGACAGTTATGTTATTTGGTAGGAGTAAATTAGCGATTTGGAGGTTTGCTGGTCTTTTGGGGAAACGGCAAGTAAACAGTCCCAATGTACCAAAACAAAGGCAAGAGTTAACACTTAAGTACGAGGCATTGTGTGCGCGTGTGTGTCACAGCAACCTACTGAGGTTGGTACTATCATCCCAATTTTAGAAATGAGGAAATGGAGGCACAGTACAGGGTTGCTGCAAGTATTTCTGGAGGACAGATTTCTAGAAGCGGGTTTGCTGGCCAAAAAGTATGAACATTTAAAATTTTGCTAGGTATTAGCTAATTGCCCTCGAAATTATGATATCACATACTTTCACAATAGTAAGTAGAAGGGTCCTTTTCCTCACACCCTCCCCAGCGTTAGGTATTATCCATATTTTAATTTTTTGCCTATATGATGGATAAAAATGCTTCTTTTTATAATGTCCCCAAGTTATTAACACAAGGGTAATTTGGTATAAACCTTTAACCAGCTGACCACGGAAATGGAGACTCTCAGGACTGGACCGTCCCAATCCTTATGGCTGCATGACGCCGCAGCAAGGAGACTTGATCCTGTGATTCCATGTGAGGTGGGCAGAGGGGTTTGCACCTCCTCCTGACACAGTCTTCAGTCCCTTTCATCTTTGGACAGGGCAGCTCTGACTACAAAAAGTTTTCATGTCACAGAAGGGTGTTTACTGTATGACTCCATTGTATAAAGTTCAAAAACAGGCAAAACTAATCTATGTTGAGAAAACTAATCTATCTAATCCTTGGAGGAGGAGGAGAGGGTAAAATTTGGGAAGGAGCAGGAGAGTGGCTTCTGGGGTGCAGATAACATTCTATTTCTTGACCTGGGTAGTGTTTACGTTGGTATGTTCAATTTGGACGATTGATCAGGCTGTACACTTACGAATTATGCTTTTTGCATGTGTTAAAAAGTTTCTTTTTTAAAGTAGGCTAGCTCTACATAAATACATGGGCAGCTTAAGAGCCCAATGCCAATGGCTTTTGATTCTTTTACGGGCTCTTTTAAGAAATGCTGGAAGACCAACACCCTTGAAGGTAGAGAAGGCAATCTTACATGGAAAGAACAGACATCAATGACTCCAAGTGGAAAGTCACAATGTTAATGTGAAGAAGTTTTAGGAAAACTTTAACCAATTAATTTTGTTTCTATTCACAAGAGCAATACATGATTTTTTAAAAACCATGTTTAAGGCTAAAAAAGCTCTTTCAATAATTATAAAGTTGTCAAGGGATAAGAAAAAATATTGGGAATCATGCAGTGCCAAGTATTCAAAGCCTCAGGAGTAGACGAGATGATCTAGAAAAGGCAGAGTGAGAAGATAGGACAAAGCCCGTGGAATCAGACATTTAAAGGTTAGGGGGGTACTTGGTCAAAATGCTAGACAGAAAGTAGAATGGTGCTCGCCAGGGGAGAGGAGGAAATGGGGAGTTAGTGTTTAATGGGTGCAGAGTTTCAGTTTTACAAGACGAAGAGTTATGAAGATGGATGGTGGTGATGGCTGTACAACATTATGAATGTATTTAATACCACTGAACTGTATGCTTAAGAATGGTTAAGATGATAAATTTTATGTTGTGTATTTTGCCAGAACAAAAAAATGTTTTAAATTAAAAACATAAAAAATCAGAACTATCAAAAAAAATCCCCCAAAAAAGGTCAAGGTAGAAGGGGAGCCTTCTTCTCCCATCCCAAGAGGTTCAGGGAGGAGCTGCCGGAAGGAAGGAGGAAAACTGGAGGAGTGTGGCTTCACTGAAGGTTTCAAGGAGAAACGCTCAGTGGCAACAAAGACGACATACGGCAAGACTGACACCAGGCCAGGGGTCACAAAGGACAAGGGGACAAGAGTGCCACCAAGTGAGTGAGGATGCCCCATGCTGGGCGCAAAGATGATTCTGCCATTTGGATGGAGATGGGGTGTTCTAGAACCCAGTCCCCTAGCTCCTCTCAGTCCCCATCCCTCAAGTCCATGATTTCCACCTTTCCTGTTTCTGTGCTGTCAGAATTGGAAACTGATAGGATAACAGTTCTTAATTTGGGTCGGTGGAGGGCATAGATCTCTTTGAGAATCTTAAAAAAGCTATAAGCTCCCCCTCCCATAAAACATACTGTGCACATTAGCCCATATGTGTACAATTGTGCATATGGCTCCCCTTGCTAGGCCCCAAACTGTAAAATTTCCTCTGATTATTGCCTCTAATCCTGCACTCACTCCCTCACATCCACAGAACTCTCTGTCTCAGCTCTTCAGTAACAGTTCTTCCCTCATCTGACACTCAGCACAGACATTCACAAAATCGCTGCAGCGATTACAAGGGATGATAACTGTCAAGTAGAGAGCACTATTTACTTGGCTGCCTCATAAGTAATAGATTTGGTTAATAAAGGCTTTGAGAAGGAAGCATTTTAGCCAGAACCTGAAGGATGTATCTGACTACAAGGTAAGATCTTGAAAGTATAAAGCATCTCAGTGGGAAAAAAACAAGGCTTAGGGTGGTGAGATATAGGTGACTTTTCCCCTTTTCTTTATTTATTTTTTTTTTTTTTAAAGATTTTATTTATTCAGTTTTTCCCCCCAAAGCCCCAGTAGATAGTTGTATGTCATAGGTTCACATCCTTCTAGTTGCTGTACGTGGGACTCGGCCTCGCGTTGGACGGAGAAGTGGTGCCTCGGGGCGCTCCCGGGATCCGAACCTGGGCCGCCAGCATCAGAGCGCGCGCACTTAACCGCTAAGCCACGGAGCCGGCCCTCCCCTTTTCTTTATACTTTCATTAATAGGATTATCCTTGACTCGGCTCACACTCCACATCCATCAGCAGACACTGGTGGGCTGCACCTTCAACTCACGTCTAGAATCTGACCACTTCACCTCTACTGCCACCTCCCTGGTCCCAGCTTTGCCCCCTTCAGTCTCTTCTCACCACAGGGAAGCCAGGGGGATCTTTTACAAAACAAGTCAATCTATATAGCATTCCTCTGCTCAAACTCACCAATGGCTTGCTTCTCTTATCATTCAAAATAAAAGTCCTTCTTCACTGCAGAACTGTCCCATATACTGGCTCCAGCCCCGCAGGTGCCAATGGTGGTATGGAGGGGGACACACGTCATTGTAACAACCAAACCTGCCCCTCAGGATTCCCAAGGTTTCAGTCCTGGCTCCATCCCTTCCAGCTGTGTCACCCTGCTAGGCTCCTTTCTTCATCTAAAAGCAGGGGATGATGATAACAAACTTGAAGAATTCTCCTGAGAATTAGAAATAGGTGCCTGGCGTCAAGGGTGCTCAGTGAATGGTTGCTAATGACACTGGTCTAGGAACAAGCCAACTCTCATTGCTCCTCTTGTCTGCACCTGAAGATTGACATCCTGTGTATATTTGCATCCCTCTCCAATTTCTTCTGAATCATTCTCTCCTATATCAGAAAGTAAGGTTATGGGCTGGAGCTGTTTCTATCCAACCCCCCTAAGAGCTGGTCCTAAGGATGAACTACAAACAGCAGCCTCCATTCGAGGCAGTCCCCCACCCAGCTCCTCTTTCACCGTGGGCTGGGAATCAACAGCCTCCCACACTTCTACTGTATGACCCTAGACAGTTTCTGAACCTCCTGGAGTTTGGTTCCTTCTTTACAGGCAGACATGCTGACAGTCCCTGCTCCGTAGGCTGAGCTCAGGAGGAAATGAGCATGTGTGCAACATCCTGAGCCCCATCCCAGGCATGTAACAGGAGTTCAGACGCTGCTGACCACAGGAGCCATCCCCGGTCTAAAGCCCTGGGCTCCATGTCCCCACCCGCAGAGGTCAAGCCCTCCCCCTTGACTTTTGGAGCTGGATTCCCTCTTACTGACTTTGGCTGGCTCCCTCCTCCAGCCAGAGTAGCTCGGCTCACACTGACTCAGGCACAAATTCCCATTCTAGGAATCCAGCCCCTAGCCCAACCACTGGGTCCCTGCCGGGTCCAGGCTAGTCCCAACTCCCCAAAGGAGGAGGGCAGGGGAGTTTGGGCAGAGAGACTGTTTCTGTTCCAGGTCAGCCTTCCCCCCCAGCTCGGGAAGCTGGAATGTTTCTCCGGCAATGGTGACATTTCCCCACAACCTAAAAATTCTGCCTTGGGATGGAGCAACAAAAGCTTAGACTCCGGGCTCCATTTACTTCTTCAAGAGCTGCTGCTTCTTTTCTCAGTCACTTTGGCCACAGAGAGATGATTAACAACATTTAATTTTAAAAAGTAGTGTAAACAGGAAAGTAGCACAAAAATACAGTGTTGCCGTGGAAGGCTGGTGCTTGCTGCTGAGAAGCTGAAGCCTGACGAGGTCATGATTTGGGGAACGAGTATTCTTTAAAGGACAGAGAGAGTGGACTGAGGGCAGAGAACCAGGAGAGCTGCTTGTCTGAGACCCCCTCATGCCGGGCTCTTTAGAACTGGAGCCACACTCCAAACACCAACGTGAGGGAACGAGATGATGAACTCCAGCTGCTTCTCCCAACAGTGTCTGTCCAATGAGGGGGAAGCTGGGACACATGCATTTGTATGTTGAGTGACTGGAGAGCACCCAAAGTCTTACCATCACCCCAGACCTCCCTGAGACCTGGTTTACAGACTGGCCTCCCTGTGCCGTGCAGCCAGAGTACATTCCTACATACCCCCTGGCCTGGAATCCTGGTGTCCTCCATTATGTTGTCACCTTCCTATTGCCAACCCAAGGGTGCCAGTGCCTTTTAGCCCCATTATATGATACTCTCTCCCAGGACCTAATCCACTAGTGGCTAAAGAAAACCCTCAGCCACATCCTACTTCTCTGATCAATGGGTTTCTCCCTATTCTTCTAACTAATGTCTTTGGGGTCTTCATTTTCTCCTCCGGCTGACACTCTTCAATTCATCCAATTCCTTCTCCATTAAGTGGGATTCAGCAGTGGTCTCAGAGAGCTGAAAGTGAAGCAGCAGAGCATTATAAAGAAGGACATTTCCGGGCTCTATTTTAGGTTTGCAAGGCCAGCCCTGCACCTGGGGAAAGGCCCCCTGGCATCTCTCTAACACAGCCGGCCTCCACGATGGGAACCCCTTTGTAACCGGGCAGAATGTCACCACCTGACGACCCAGGGTCTCAGATACCTGAAGAACATTCACAGTCCACTCTATCAACATTTTTGATCTCCTAGGATCGCATGGCACTCACTGTGTTAGGACAGCAGGCCTTAGGCTTAGGGGATGAAAGAGGCAGATCTTGGTGATTTTTTTTTTTTTCTGTGAGGAAGATCAGCCCTGAGCTAACATCCATGCCAATCCTCCTCTTTTTGCTGAGGAAGACCGGCCCTGAGCTAACATCTATTGCCAATCCTCCTCCTTTTTTTCCCTTTTTCTTCCCAAAGCCCCAGTAGATAGTTGTATATCATAGTTGCACATTCTTCTAGTTGCTGTATGTGGGACGCCACCTCAGCATGGCTAGACAAGTGGTGCATTGGTGCGCGCCCAGGATCTGAACCTGGGCCGCCAGTAGCGGAGCACGTGCACTTAACCGCTAAGCCACAGGGCCAGCCCCAGATCTTGGTGATTCTAAGGCTAAAGGATTAGGGTCTGAGTTGCTTCTGAGCTCAAATGATGGTGACTGGGGAAAAAAGGCTTGAAAGAGAATGCCCCTTTCCCTATCAGGATCTTTCAGTGGACTTTAGAGTAGCAGGTGGAAGACACTCAAGACAGGGACAGAGAGAGAAATTCTCTAAAGCAGAGGTGAGCTCACTGTGAAATGAGCTACACTTCCCAAGCAATATTTGTATTATTAACTCACTACGAGGTAGATCCTATTATCATGCCCATTTTATTGCTGAAGAAACTAAGTTTCTCCACACAGAGCAGTTACGTAACTTGCCTAAAGTCACACAGCCAGTGGTGGAGCTGGGCAAGGAAGCAGGCAGTTTAGCTCCAGAACAGATGCTCTTCACCACTCCTGTGTATGCTCTCCTGCCTCTCAATCAATCTTCACCCACATCTCTAGGCCCAACAGGTGGGTTTTTTTTTTAAGGATTTATTTTATTTATTTACTTAATTTCTCTTGAGGAAGACTGGCCCTGAGCTAACATCTATTGCCAATCTTCCTCTTTTTCTTTTTTCTCCCCAAAGCCCCAGTACATAGTTGTATATCCTAGTAGGTACTTCTAGTTCTTCTATGTGGGACACCGCCTCAGCATGGCCTGATGAGCAGTGAGTAGGTCCGCTCCCAGGATCCAAACCAGTGAACCCCAGGCTGTCGAAGTGGAACACGCAAACTTAACTGCTAGCCACTGGGCCGGCCCCAACAGGTGGGTTTTTAACAGCCACAAGAAACCGATGCCAAGGCAGAGTGTGCCCCTCAGCAGGTCCGGGCACTGACTAATGCCTACTTAGTATGAGACACCTCCAAGCCACGAGCAGACTATCCTTCTTCCTGGAATGCCTTCAGCCCAATCTCCATTCCTCCCTTTATCCTTCCACATTCAGCTCAAACTTCCCTTCCTCTGTGATGCCCTCCTCACTCGAGAGAATTACTTTCTCTCTCTCACGTGCTGACGCCAGGCCCCGTACAGACTAACTGTTACTCTTAGACGAGGCACTGTCATTATGTTTACTGTCCATCTCCCCGCTAGACTGGGAGCCCTTGAGGGTAGGGACTGGGTCTGCTTTGTATCTTTGGATTCAAAGCAACTTACCTGGGCAAACTGGCACTCGAGGTATCAGCTGGCTGCAATGACTCGAGGTGGAGCCCCCCAAAAGGAAAGCCCAGGCATCCCATCCCATTGCCTGGCTCACCATGTCCAGCAGGATGTCCACTTTCAGCCGCAAGAGATTGTTCTCCTCCTCTAACTGCTGGTTCCGCCTCCGGAGGCGCTGAGCCTCCCTCCGGTCCACACCTCCACTAATCCCAGTCTCTGGGGGAAGGGCAGAGCCACCAGTCACAAGGGGGGTTTCCTTCTACAATCTTGGACAAAATGGCAGGAAATAAGCCCACCTGCTATCCACTGGCCATTTTCAAACTTCAGGCTTTGCCCCGCCAGGTTCATAGTGGGGGTTCCATAGTCAAGGCCCAGCTCCACCTCCCGGGTCGACCGATCCAGCTGCAGGTGAGACACTGCATGCCAGCTTCAGGAGGCCAAAGTACACAGGCGCTGGACCCAGCACCTCTTCCACTCACTATATAACCCCAACAACTCATTCCTTTTCTCTAATTATTACCTGGCACACTTAATACTTTTTTAAAAAGTCACAAAATCAAACAAGGTACAACAAAAACTTTTAAACTATAAGAGAGAAGAAATGTACCACTTTATACAATAGATGTTTTCCAGGAAAGCTATATATGCTGAAATTTGTAAACCGAATTATTTTACACCTACTGGGCACTTAACAGTTTAAAAAAATCCTACTGTAAATTTTTAATAAAGTGAAAAATCCTTTTTAAATGTAATAAGCCTCTAAGTTATCATTTGCTTACTATGGAGTTATAGATGTCATGGAAAAAGCATAAAATGCTAACGCCCAATTAGTAGTGGTAACTGTTCTTTAATGTGTTTCCCAACGTTTCTACAACTCACTGAGCACCCACCCTGTGTCAGGGCCAGTACTGGGTATTCAGAAATGAATGCAACCAGCTCTGCCTTCAAGGAGCTTGGAAACTGCCTTTGGAGCCATGACATATCCTTCTGAATGCCATTAATGGTGGCAAAACATCATCCTTTGAGAATGAATTTGATTCTTAGACATGACTAAAATTCATTCCTGGCCAAGTCATGGGAATAAAGGGAAGTCAAATTGGATAATAACATTTGGAGCCAAAAACCATAATGAGATCAACTGTCTTATTAGGTTCTTGAATAAGCTCTAACAATAATTCCCAAATAGGAGTTAAAAAACGTCTTTAGCAATAGCAATAATATGAATTAAAAGGATGCCCTCCTACGAGGATGCCTCTGGAGGACCACACTTTCCATAAGAGACCCAGCTTGATGCTCCAGTCCCCCTGCACACCAGGCTGAGCCCAGCACAGACACTCACATTATGCAGGTTGGAGAGAGAAGCAGACTTCCGAGGGGGTGTCTTCTTTGGACTGAATGTATTCCCAAAGAGAGGCATCTTTGGTCTGATGAAGGAAAGGTCAATGCTCCCTCCTCCTAGGGCCAGAAAAAGTCAAGGGTACAAACAGTTGGGTCAGTGACCTTATGCCACTGTCCTGTAATCATGAAAACACACATCTTTTCATGTGGCTGTTAGCAGTCCTGGTAAGAGCTCCCATGCTCACTATTATTATAATCAATAATGCTCACTATGTATCAGGCAGTATGCTAACACCTTTGCATGCAATATCTCATAACCCTCCCAACCACCCTTGGATTAGCTCCTCTTATTATCCCCATTTGACAGATGAGGTTTAGAAAGACTAAGGTCTTAAGTAGAAGATAGTATTTAAATGCAGGGCTCTGTGGCTCTATAGTTTATGTTAACCACAGGCAAGTGCCTAACTTGCCTGTCTTAAGTTTTGTCACAAGTCAGCATCACCAGACTTACAGTCTAGAGAAGGAATGCAATCCTGACGTATTCCTGTACACGGGTAAGACTCACACCTGGGGCAAGAGCCTCTGCATCTTCTCTGTCGTAAACAAATGAAGCTATACTTATACTGCACCTTTGGATTGATAATAGTGCCTCAGTCCACATGTCAGAAGGGCACCTGTCCTGTATGGCAAGTGAGGTATTCGGAGGAAGGAGGTGGCCCACAACATGGCAGAGCTGACAATGGCAGCCATACTTTGCTTTCAGCGTTATGCAACCTATTGCAACTCACACGGGTCCACTTAAGTAGATTTACTGACACTGCCCTTTTTTTTGGGCGACGGAGGGAGGAGAAGTAAATTTTTTTGTATATTTATGTATAACACAAACATAGAAAAGTATACAAATCATAAGTGTATGGCTTCATGAGTTTTTACCACACACACACAGACCTGTGTAGCCACCCTCCAGATCAGGATACAGAACATTTCATCACCCCACAAGCCTCGCCCAACAGCCTTATATCCATGAACTCATACATTATATCCTCTTTTGTGTCTGTTTTTTTGCTCAATATCATGTTTGTGAGATTTATCTGTCGTTGTATGTAGTTGTAATTTGTTTGTTCACACTGCAGTAAAATATTCTACAGCATGAAGTAGATGTTTTGGCTGTTTCCAGTTTTTGTCTATTCAAAATAGTGCTGCTGAGAACATGCCTGGACGTGTACTTCTATACACATAAGTATACTTCTCTGCTTCTATACCTAGGGTGGAATTGTTGAGTCATAAAGCATTCATAAATTCAGCTTTAGTAAATACTGCCAAATGATTTTCCAGAGTGGTTGTACCAATCTATACTCCTACCAACAGTGTACGAGAGATCCTCGTGAACATTTGGCATTTCCTATCTCTTTCATTTTATCCATTCTGGTAGGTATGTAGTGGTATTGCCTTGTGTGTTTAATTTGCTTTTCCCCAGTAACTAATTAAATTAAGTACCTTTTCATATACTCATTGGACATCTGGATACCTTCTTTTGTGACATGCTTGTTCAAGTCTTTTGCCATTTTTCTACCGGGTTGTCCATCTTTTTTTTTTTCACTAGGAAGATTTGCCCTGAGCTAACATCTGTGCCAGTCTTCCTCTATTTTGTATGTGGGACACTACCACAGCATGGGTGACGAGTGGTGTAGGTCCGCACCTGGGATCTGAACCCACGAACCTGGGCCGCCGAAGCGGAGCGTGCAGAACTTTAACCACTTAGTCATGGGGCCAGCCCCCGTCCATCTTTTTTTTTAAGGGTTTGTAAGGGTTCTTTATATACGCTGAATACAAGTCCTTTGTTTTATATATAGAAAATACTGAAAATATCTTCTCCCAGTCTGGAACTTGCCTTTTTGCTTTCTTATTGGTTTCTTTTTGATTAGAGAAGTTCTTAATTTTAATGGAATTTGACATCAAATTTTTTTTTTAATGATTACTGTTTTTGTGTCCTATTTAAAAAATTTTTGCCTACTCCAAGGTCATAATATTTTCATATATTAACTTCTGGAAATTTTATTGTTTTAGCTTTCATATTTAGGACTACGATTCCTCTGGAATTAATTTTTGAATATGGTGTGAGACGAGGGTCAAGGTTCATTTCTTCCCATATATTACCCAATTTTAACTTACAACACACAAGTAGCTTAAAAAGATTCCTTCTAAGAAACTGTAGACTGAAAGTAACAATAACGAAAGCACAACTGAGCAAAAAGGAAGAAGCAGAGCTCTCGCTTTTCCTACTCCTGGGTCTAAAATCTTCCTTCACTACGTGATGAGATGAAAACAGCAGTGAGTTCACTGTATCTGACAAGAAGTTGGCCCAAAAAAGAGGGAGCTTCTCAACACTATGAAACAAGGTTTTATATCAACTATCATTAAAAGAGAATTCATAGTATGAATCCATCACAGTTAGCAAGACGTGTATTCAATGAGAACATGAAGAAGAACTGTGCTGTTTTCAGTGATGTAGAAATTAATATCACTAAAATTAATGATAAAAGTTTATGGGCCGGCCCCGTGGCTTGGCGGTTGAGTGTGCGCACTCCGCTGTTGACAGCCTGGGTTCGGATCCTGGGCGCGCACCAACGCACTGCTTCTCCGGCCATGCTGAGGCCGTGTCCCACATACAGCAACTGGAAGGATGTGCAGCTATGACATACAGCTGTCTGCTGGGGCTTTGGGGGAAAATAAATAAATAAATAAAATCTTTAAAAAAAAAAAAGAATGGCATCTGAAATACTTTTTAAAAAAAAAGTTTAGAAGCTTCTTTGGAGGTTTTACGATATACAATACAGATGTATATATGATTTATAAATAAGTAAATATGAAGATATTTATGGGTGTGTGCTCATGAGAGTTTTATGGCTAGGTGTGTGTTTGTAATTGAAAACAGCAGTAGACCAACAACCTAGGGGATGGCATTTGGGCCTGGGCACAACACTTTAGTACTTGGACAAACCAGAGTGATTCCAGCTTGGTGGCGGACAGGACAGCGCTGGGGACCAAGATGCTGAGGGAGTTTGAAGCTGTCCTAGCATGTCATCCAAAACACAGTGGAAGGCCCTGGCATTGTTTCTGCTGGAAAAAAGAAAAAGGGTAGAAGAGGGACGACAATCTTAAGTCTGTAGAGGGCAGAACAAGAACAAAACGGGAACATCCAAGAAGAAAGATTTTAACTCAAAAAAACCAAAAGGGCACAGTAACAAAAACTAACATCACTTCCTGTGTTTCCACTATGGGTTGGGCCCAATGCTGGGCATGCTGCATATATTTCTTTTATTCCTTGCAGCAACCCCACTAGGTAGGGATTGTCCCATCCATATCAGAGATGAGAAAACTAGGGCTCAGAGAAGTTAACCAATTTTCCCAAGGTCCACAGCCATGATCAGTTGGCTAAAGGTATATATCAAATTATCCTTGTATTAATAAGTTGTGCGGTACATCACAGAAAGAAGCATTTTCATCCATCACATTGGTAAAATTTAAAAGATGAATAATATCCAATACTGGTGAGGGTGTGGAGTAAAGGACACTTTCATTTACTCTTGGTGGAAACATAAGATGCTATAATTATTTCAAGGGCAATTAGGCAAAACCTAGTAAAATTATAAATGTGCATACTTTTTGGCCAGCAAATCTACTTCTAAAAATTTATCCTCCAGAAAGACTTGGACATGGTCACACAAATTTTCTCTATTGTTGGTAACAGTGAAAAATAATGAAACAATCTAAATTGTCTACCAATGGTTGGTGTAGCCAAATACATTGTGGCACAGTCTCATAACGGAATACTAGAGTGCCAGACAATGAGACAGCTGTATATGGACTGACCTGAAAAGACCTCCCACACATTCTGCTTTACAGTTTGCAATGGGCCATGAAATACATTATCTGATTTTAATCTAACAAGAAGATGAGAGCGCAGTCTTCGGCTTTCAGCGGATTCTCAAAGAGATACACGTCCCCCAGCGAGTCCAGGGCCAGTCAAGCACATGCCGCGCAAGGACCCGGCCACCCAGGGCTGTTGGACTCAACTAACGGTAGTGACAAACGTCCACTCGCACGCCCTCATTTAATCACCCTCAAGCCTAGTTACGGGGAGGAACTACTACGCCGATTTACAGTTGAGGACACAAGCTTCGAGAAGGGCAGTGACGGCCTGGCGCGAACCCAGCATCCGCGCCCCCGCCCTCGGCCGCTGCAACTGCGGGGAGGCCCCGGGTCCCTGGCTAACGCCGGGCGTCCCACCCCTCGTCGGGCCCTGGAGGAACGCTGGGCTCGCAGACGTACCTGACCAACCCCGGAGCCCGGGGTCCAATCGCACCCCGACACCTCCAGAAGCGGCCCACCCGAGGCCGCGTCACCCACTGCGACCACGGCTCACAGGACGCTCCACCGCCCCCCACCCGCACTCCGCGCGCACGCGCAGCCCCGCCCCGGACTCTACCACCGAGACGGGCGGGGGGCCCGGAGCAGCTGGGTCCTCAACGCGAGCCCACGCGAAGCTCCAGAGATGCTTGAGGACGGCCCTCGATGTGTTAGATGGACTCCACAAAGGGACTGTCTTCTGGGGTCATGTACACGCCCCAGGCTACACGCTAGGACGACGAGCTAAACCCACCTTCCCCACACACCCATTAGTCTGGTCTCCCCGGCCTGGGGGGCCGTCGCCATGGTAACGGCGACCAGCGGACGCCGCTGCTGGCGACGGTTCCATTGTTGGGGGAAAGTGGTGGCTGCGCGTACACGGGGACTCACAGTAGCAAAATGGGCCTCTCCCCGACGTCCCTCCTCCTCTGCCACCTCCCCGGCCACAAAGCAAAGGGCACCCCTTACGTGGATGTGGGGGCAACGGGTGCCGGGTGTCCCAGCCAGAATTTTGCAGGGTCCCCTGAGGGACCCGTGGCGGAACCGACTCCGACTTCGTCGGATTCCGCCGATGTCTTCAGGTAAGACGGACAGACGGACGGTGATCGGCCCTGCCCGCCTCCGCAGGCTTGCCCCCTTTCCACGCCCCAACTTTCATCTGCTTCGACAAGGAGGGGAAACAGGCCCAGGGACCGCTTCAAGGTTGCACAGTGAGCAAGGGGCAGAGAACTACTCGAGAATTAACTCTAGATCTCCTAAAGTGCTAACTGTGTGTGTTATTGGTTCCATTTGATAAATGAAGACACTCAGGGCCATTCAAGGGATATTTACTGAGTGCCTATGGGTGCACCAGGTCATCCATCCAGTGAGGGGCAGGACCCATGGGTCTCTGGCTCCAAGTCCAATTTTCTACCAACTACACCTCACTGCACTTAAAAGCGGAGGGTTTCACGTCCTAGAACCAAAGTCTGCACAGTCTAGCCCAGCACTGTCCTATGGAAACAATGTGGGCCACATATGTAATTTAGAATTTTCTAGTAGTCATATTCTAAAAAGTAAAACAAATGAGGTGATATTAATTTGAACAATATTTTATTTAACTCATGTCTCAAATATTATTATTTCAACATATAATCAATATATTTAAATTTATACTGCTTCAGTTTTAAAATTTAAATTAATTAAAATTAAAATTTTAGTTCTTCAGTGACACTAACCAGATACCAAGGACTCGGTTGTCACATGTGGCCAGTGGCTACTGTGATGCACAGGTCTAGCCTTTTCCTACCTTTCTACCTTGCTCCCCTCTGCTTGGGTGGTATTTTCCCTGCCCCTTTATCTAATTAACTCCTAATCTTCCGTCAAGCCTTGACCATGTTGACCAGGTCACTGTTATGCTGTCTCAGCACTGTGTACCTCCCTTCAAAGCAGTGGTCACAGTTATAATTCACAATTATTTTTAGAATTGTTTGATTATGGCAGATCTCCCCTAGTAGATGTAAGCTCCATTAGGGCAGGAATCAAGTCTGGTCTAGCTCACCCTCCTATCCCCAGTAGGAGCACTGCTGGCTTGTTTTAGGCACTCAGTAAACAGTCATTGAATGACTGAAGGTTAACCTCAACCAAAATCTGTCTGACTCCAAAGTCAGCATTGTTTTAACTTGTTTAACATGTTTCAGTTAAAACATGTTAACTTGAAACAGGGGACATTCAAATCTCGGTTGCCAGACTGTGTGCTCCTTGAGGGCAGAACGTTCTTTCCTCTTCCACTCATCTGCCCCCAGCACATAGCACAGTGCTGGGCAGGGTGTAGATATTCAGTGAAGTTAGTTTTCTTCCCCCTCCTTTTAGTGACAGTAAAAACTTAGCATGTTTCAGAGCATACTTATGCTAAAATGGTATGATGAAAAATTCAGAAGGGAACAGAGTGTATATTTTAAACATTTCTCTTAAGAAGCATACTATTCAATTCTCCCATTAGGCATGAATAATAATGTTAAGCTAAAGCAAGAGGCTTCTTGACAGTGTCACTCTAAGCCTGGCTTTTCAGAGAACATGTGGTAGTTTTCTGGTCACGCTGGGGAGTGGGTGGGAGGAAAGTGAGAAGCCCTAAAATGCGCCTGCCTCCTCTTTACCCTCTTCCCCTTGCCTGTATGACTAAAGACCAGGAGCGGGAGGGAGGAAATAGTATTGGCCTGGGCCTGGGCCAGCCTTTGCTACAATCCAGCTGACTTGGGACAGTCCAAAATGGAGGGCCTTTGGGCTAGAAAGAAGTGTGGCGAGTGAGTCTAAGATGGAATCAAATATTGCGTGAACCTAATCCCCAGGGAGTAATTTGCCTAATGGATAAAGATGTAGAAACAAATAATTCCAGTTGCATGCCATAAGTGCTGTAAGAGAGGGGTGAAAACAGAATCCTGGGCTTCATGGAGGAGGGGTGGTACTAGTGACCTGCAGCAATTCAAGAAGGTTTTTCAAAAAATATATCACCTAGGCTGAGCATTGAATCGAGGGAACAACATGTGCAAAGGCATAGAGGCACAAATCACAGCATGGCAGGGACCAGGAAGAAGTTCAGTGGGGCAGGCATATAGGATGCACAGCTGGGGAGAAATGGTCAGAGCAGAAGGCTGAACCTAAGGACAGGAAAGGAGGCTTGTGAAAAGGCAGCTGGGTTAATTTTTTCCACCAAACTCTACCTTTTCTCTCTCCTTCCATTAGGAATGAGCTTTTTTGGGGGGGGAGGGATGGGAAAGAGTCGCCCTGAGCTAACATCAGTTGCCAATCTTCTTCTCTCTCTTTTTTTTTTTCCTCCTCAAAACATATTTAGTTGTATATTCTAGTTGTAGGTCCTTCTAGTTCTTCTATGTGAGCCACCACCACAGCATAGCTACTGACAGATGAGTGGTGTGGTTCCGTGCCTGGGAACCAGGCCTAGGCCACCGAAGCGGAGTGTGCCAAACTTTAACCACTAGGACATCAGGACTGGCTCTGTATGAGCTTCTTGAGGGCAGATCTCAGTCTTTTACTTCATTATAACCAGACCTATACCACCAGGCTCTGGACATGGAGGACTTGCAAACGATAGTGATGAACTCCTGGCCAGTAAGCAGGGACCCAGGAGAGCAGCCTGGCCAGAGTGTTCCAAATCCAGGAGGAAGAGTAGTGATGGGGCCAGTTTTCTGAGAGGGAGCAGAAAGCCTCAGGTAATCAGGAGCCTCATGCTGAGGAGATGGACCTGTATCATAAAATCATAGCATCTGAGAGCTGAAAAGGGTCTTCGGAACCTAATTCAAATCTGACTTTCCAGGTGAGGCTCAGAGAGACAAAGAGATTTGATTTCATTTCTAATTTGGAAATTGGCTTGCCGGGTGGTCTGGAGCACTGGGCTTTCCAGCATTCTAGTCTCCTTACTTTTAAAATTAGAACAGTTTTCATCAGGGGTAGAAAGAAAAAGTATATACGCCTTGAGATCCTGTTAAGAATGGGCTTCTTATTCCCCATCTTGCGTGCAACATGTGCCTCGCCATCAGCCCTGCTTACCAGATGAGCATGGTTGTGTTTTCTAAGATGGTTCTATACTATTTGTGATTTCCAGGAGACTGGTTGAACAGAGAACAAGATCAGAGTGAGAAATGAGAGGCTCTTAAAAGTGGAAACTTACTGTTCATCAGTTTACAAGAAACTGGACAATGGCTTTTTTCAGGAAGATGGATATTATCAATGTCACCGCCTTGCCACTGGTGCCAGTAGATGAGCACCTGGCTGTCTCAGTCGTTGCACGGAACGCAATGAAGAATGCTATGAGGAAGAATATGGAGGATAATCCACCCTGTATCCTTCTGTGGTGCCCTGTATAATTGAGACCAGATACGCCTGCTGCAGAGGTGTAACCCGTGCTCAAGTCTATAACACTCGTTACTTATTAGCTCATTCCTCCTACTTTCATTAATCTTTTTCAATTACTTAAGTCTTACCTATCCTCTAAAAGAATTTGAGACAGCAAAGGATTGTTTGACGTGAGTTTGTTTTACTAAGATAATCAGAAAAAACCCAAAAGGAAGAAGTACTAGAAATATGTGTTGAAAGAATGGGGAAGAAGAGAAAAAAAACCTCATTTTTTTTCATTGTCTCCTTTTTTCCCTTCTACCTTCCAAAGAATTATAGTTATAGGTAGCAACTAAGAAGTCACAGTCCAGCCCTCTACCCTCAAACAAGTGAGCTTAATTAAGACCCAACTTTTTTTTTTTTTCCTGCACTTGACCTCACCTCTTCTCACCACCAGCGCTTCTGCCTGGGCCCAGAGTTTGCCCCTTCTGGCATCCTCCAGGCTCTACCCACCAG